GGGGACCTGACCACTATCCCATCCCTCCCCCTTGCTTTTTAACCTTAACCCTTAAGTGCACCCGGCTATTTCGTTTGCAACGGGGCGTGGAGGCACGCGTCGCTGCCGTTGCTTCGCTTTGCTGCTTCTTTGCTGACGTTGCTCCCGCACCACCCGCGCGCGTCTGCTGCGGCGCCCCCTGCTCAGCATCACCATCGCCATGGTCTTGCGGGTGGTGTGGGCGCACAATTATTATTCACATTTCGGACGGCTCCCTATGTGTGCACGTGCACGCTTGTCACGGCATCGCCAGCATCGCCACCACCACCACCCTGGTATGCTACGTGCATGATATATGTATGCCCCCTTCCCCCTCCTCCACTGCATGGTGACGGTGCCCGTGCGTGAGAAATGCATACCGCTCGCTTGCCACCCACATCACCGCACATCCCGCCCTGGTGGTGGTGGCATGGTGCATACCGCTCCGATGCGCTCGGCGGGCTTTTCTCAGCGATATTCGTCGTGTTTATTCAGGGCGACTTTCACGACCTCCATAATGAAGTCAATAATTTCCCGCAGCGGCGATGACGGGTCCAACGGCACCCCAGAGGAGCTGCAGGGGCTAGGGCGGCCCCGCGCCGGCCCCGCGGGGAGCGATGGGCCATACGCGGCGTCCTGCGCTCCTCCCCGGGGGGCGGCGGCGGGGAGCTCCGTCCGGGAAGCAGGAAGCAGCAGCGCGTCGGTCTTGGGCAGGAGGGTAGTACCGCCCCCCATCCAGGACTTCGAACACTCACTAGGACCAAGGATCAGGGATCTGCTGTTAGGGCAATTTGCCCGTGTGCAGACGGCGCAGCAGACCCCCCGGGGAGGGGAGCCTTTGCATGCCACATCCTCCTCCCCCTTCCGCCCCAGAACACCTACTCACCCGTCGGAGCTGGCCAGGCACGGGGGGTGCTGCGCGGGGGGACGGGGAGGAGCAAGGGGCTTCCTTTATTTTTTGTTTTCTTAGTCTCGCTGTCTGTCGGAGAAAACAAACATTATGACGTGGAGGCGTGGCCAGGGCGGGCCAAGGCTTTTCGGGGAAGAAGAGCCCTGGAGTCGTGGTGTCTGGGGCGGGCGGGGACCGGGGTTGCGTGGGCGTTTTGCGTACCGGTCGCAAATCGGGTCGCTCAGTAAATGGTTAAAAAAGAAAACTTTCAACAAACCTCGGTTATGCTACTCTGCTTACTTGTAAAGTAAAACACATAGAATGCGACGTGACGCGATCATACTGCAGTGCAGCGCACTTCGAGCAATAAAAACGAGCAACGCTCTAAAATGTTTTTGTAGCTTTTCTTTTCTTTTCGCGTTTTGCGCCACGTGCGTGGGCGACACTTCGGTGGGGGCGGCGGCGGCGAGGTGACTTGACGGCAACATTTTAGTCTTAACGCCCCCAGCGTCTCCGGGGAAGCCCACCGTTAACACGTACTTGTCCCCGCGACGAAACACATGCGTTATGCGTCTGCTGTAACCGCCCCCCCCCCCAAATCCCTCATGCCCCGCGTCCCTCGACATACGCCACCGCCTACATACTTGTTGCAGCCGAACGATCTATATTCCGAGACACTATACTCCACTGCTTGTCCAATTTTGTTCGAAAGAATTGTTCGAGCTTTTCTGAAATGCCGCCAATCTGCCCGAGGAAATATGCAAAAGAAGCCATCGAGGCAAATATCCCGATCCGTCTGAGCGAGGATGTGGGGATGTGATGGGGCGGGGGCGGGGCGGGCAGAACTTGCAACGCCTGTATGTACCCACTTTGGCCCTGCAAAGGCCAGGAAGTCGTAAAGCAGGGCGGAGGGATGAGCCCTTTACTTCTGCCCCGCCCGCGCACCACCGCACCGCCGCCGCCGCGCTTCGGTTCTTGTGACGTCGACAGGAATATTATTTCGCCGCTTCCCTTTTCGCATGCATATATCCGTCCCTTTCGCACCCTTCCGCGCAGCCGCGGCCTCTCCTGGACCTGGCAAAGGAAAGGCGGGAAAGGCAAGTTGCTGTTGCTTAGTGCATAGGCAGGCCGCGACGGAGCGGGGGCGGGCTGAGAGGAAGGGAGAGGGGGGGGGGGGAGAGGTCGCCCCACACACGCGTCGTGCAGTCCAAGTGCGAACGCACGCACTTGCGTCGTCAACTTTTCACTCTCTTCTTTCCCGAGCAAACGGGGCAACCGCAGAAAAAACAACACGCATACACACAGAGAGACACCAAAAAAAAGTACGAGTTCTGTGCCGTCGAACACGGTGGATTTTGGCGGGTAGACTCTTGAATCAAACCGATATATAGGTCAAATCAGCTTTATATCAGGTGGCTGATTGACCCCGCGCACTTTTGCAGTTATGCCGATGCAGATCGGCCCGTAAGCTGCCGTGGAGGTCCTTATCTCAAAAGACCTCCGAGCTGTCACGGCGACTCACGTGAGCCTCCGCTACCTACCGACACGCCCAGCACAAGAAGGAGCAGCCCCCAAGCCCCAGGTGGGGCATCGCAGACCCTATCTAAAACGCGGTCAAACAGCGTCAGGGGCTATAGGCAAGCCCGCACGCACTCGTGCCTGCGGTACAATATAACTACAGAAGTGCGGGGTTAATCGGCCACTTGATACACGGAAAAAAATGACTTCGTCGTGAAGATCAATTATGTTTGTTAGGCTGAATTCGATAGCTGGAATCGAGAATCCGTTACTCACAAACAGGAGTTGGTTGCTACGACCGGACACTTGTACGAAGAGAACAAACTCCAGCTTGGTTCTCTTTGTACAAGTGTCCGGTCGTGTCAACCAACTTCTGCTTGTGAGTATCGGATTCTCGATTCCAGCAATCGAATTTAGCCTACCAAACAGGACTGATCTTCACAACCGAGTCTTTTTTTTCCTGTAGTTTTTCGTTCGCATGACCTCGATATGATATCACATGATGTCACAAACCTCAAAAACTTTGTTAGTTCTTTTCTGAAATTCTCTCTCACCTCACACGAAGTGCGCTGTGTGACCACTACGTGTTCACGCCCCCTTCTTTTAATCACATGCACTCGACACTTACGTCTGCGTGTAAAACTTGTTTCAAATTCGTTTCAAACCTCACTCCTCATTATTTTTGGCGGAGTGGTGTATGAGAGAATAGCGGCTCGAGTGTTTCTAGAACTTACCCCGCAGCGCCAAGGATTTTCCCAACCCCATAAATTATTTACTCTTTGGATAAAGATCTGGCGGTTGCACTCGGGCCCTCGAGACGGGCCAGTCCATGGTCGATGGGTGCCGAGTGCGCGGAGAGCCCCAAACCTCTCTCACCCTCTAAGCTGAGCAGCCCTCCAGGACGTCCACAACACTCTTCACTTCACCGGGAAGAAACAGCAACGACTTGCTGCAAACTGCAAGAGATGTGATGGGTTGGCCTGCTTGAGAGGCCAGTTCCCTAAGAGGGCAGCCGGCCATAGATATGGATATGCGGATGACAACCTCAGACGTGACAGCGTATTTTCGAAGAGATGGTCGGGTCCTCGCCTTACCCACCTCTATCCCTCTCTCCTCTCCCATCTTCCCCTCTCTCTCCTCTTCCATTCACCCCCCGCTCTCCTCCTCTCTCCCTCCTCCAGCACCCCTCTATTTTATTTTTTTGCGTCGATTTAGTCCCCCTCCTTCATAACTCACGCGTAGGAGGGGGAGGGGGCGCACGGGACCGACACCCATCCGTTAGACCCTTCGTGGGGGTGCACCTCGCCCCCTTCCCCCTGTTGCGCTATGCGAACCATGCGGCACCGTTCATTGGGACATTATCGTCACAAACAGGCCACAAGAGAACAGCTGATTTGTTGGAAAACGAACCTATTTTACCAGAGTAAGTACACTGGAAACGCAAGTGTGTGAATGTTGCACACTTGTAGATGTGTGAACATTCAATCGTACACTTGAGAAGGTAAACGTGTGAATTTTCTAGGAAAAATTTTCTAGGAAAAATTTTCTAGGAAAAATTCACACGTTTACCCCCTTCAGTGTACGAATAGTTATTCACACACCTACACTAGTGTGCGACATTCACACACTTGCGTTTACAGTGTAGGAAACGCAGTTGATTTCTTCGAAACGGAACAAGCACTTTTGTGTTTTTGAAATTTCCCCTTCTGAAAGTTGATAAATTTTGCGAAGTAATAAAAGTAATTTACTAATACTGATGATGACGTGTCTCTGCTCTGCTGTAATGGCCTGCTGGTGAGCGGGGAAGTGATCTACGACGCATACCCAGAAACGCATTACGACAAAAGGGGGTAAAAAACGGAAAGCGCATCAGCAGCGACTGCAGCAGCAGCAGCAGCCTTCAGGGTTGAGAGCAGTCGTGGCTGCGGATGCAGCCCGGGCCCAATGGGTGGTCTGCGGCATTAATTAGCTATGTGTTCTCTTCTCCAGCCAGGCCCTGGGCCCCCAGCAGAGCAGAGTGCTCACCGTTCCGGGCCTTCCCCCTAACTCCGAACCTCTGACCCCTGACGGCGTGCTTCAGCTTCAGCCCTCGTCTGCGAGGCAAAAAGCAGGCCCCCGCAGCAGCAGCAGCACGCGGGCGGCTATGCCTTCTCCCCAGAGAGAGTCGTCAATCCCCTACAAGACGTCCATATGACGTCGCGCGGGGAAAAAGAGAGAGTGAAAGAAAAAGAGTTGAAAGTTACACAAATATTCTTTTTATTTTATTATTTGGAAAACTGTTGCGAGATATTTCCAGCAAGAAAGCAAATAAAATATATATATCGAGATTCCCGAGAGCTTTAAAAAATACACATCTTTGGTCTTGCAGTATGCGAACCTATCGACATACCATATTTGGCACAGCATAAAAGTACAGAACAATGAAAACGACGATATTTAAAAACGAGTCACAAATACCAAAATACATACATCAGTCCGAATCAGTCTCTATGATACAATAGGCGGCTTGCGTGGCCCCACGACGCGTCAGCCAGCAGCACATAGTGAAGGCACACATGTGTTCAACAGACTTGACCCGATCACAAAATTATGAATTGAACACAGAGGCAAAGATCCTTAGGACAGCCAGTTCGCTGTGAACAGCCACCTGTCGTGCGACTCCAGGTGCGTTTGAAGAGGAGCACTACGCCTGGAAGAGGGACCAACAGGGCCGCAGGGGCGCTACCGAGGCACAAAGTCGTAGGGGTTCTGGTGCAGGCGCGCCGGGTGCGGCGCCGGCGGGTAGAAGCCCTGGTGGTGGTACGGGCTGTACACGACGTGCTCCTGGTGCATGTCCTGCATCGGGTGCACACCCGGGTGCACGCCGGGGTGCACGCCGGGGTGCACGGGCTGGTACGAGGCGGCCGGGCTGCGCAGCCCCACCGCCGAGAGCCCCAGCCCGGCGGCCGACAGCCCCGAGAGCCCGGCGGACGACAGCGAGGTCGTCGGCGAGGTCTTGGACACGGCGCAGCTGTACGCCCCGCTCGACGAGGTGGGCACCGAGGCCGGGTGCGCGTACGGCGACGGGACGGATGACGAGCTGCGCATGGAGGAGAGGCGACAGACGTTATTCGAAACAAAATCGATTCAAAACAAATTTGGAATATGGTAATCGCGTCGCTGTTGCTCACCTGTGGTGGTGGTAGATGGGCCCGTAGTTGCACATGTCGGCCAGGTATGGCTGTCCGACGGGCGCCGGGGAGGTGTTGCTGGGCGGAGCGGCGGACAGCCGCGGGTGGCTGGCCCCGGACAGGCGCGAGGACAGGCTCTCCGAGAGGCCCGCCGCGTCCACCTCTGAAACAAGAGGGAAAGCCTCGTCAGAAACTAAAGTCACGCTAGAGTGGGGGGGGGGGATTACTTCGCTGCCGTTCGTTTCTCTAAACCGAGGCGACGATTATTTTCATCGGCGGTGTCGACGAACAATAACAACCCTCTCCGTCAAGTAGGGGAAGGACCAGTAGTGGGGAAGCCAAGGAGGACCGCGTCAGACTCGGGAGGAAGGCCGGGGAGGTGAGGGAGGTGAGCGTTCGGTCTTCAATCAGCGCGCGGGCTGACAGTGCTGACACCGCTCAGCCGCCTCGCCTGCTCCGCACCGCAGCAGACTTGGAGGAGTCCTGGCTGTCACAGAGCTGGGGGAGGAGGGGTGGGGGAGGAGAGGACCCGCCCGCCGTAGCCACAAGCAGTACGAGTTTTTATTGCGAGTTCCGCAGCACATGCCCCGCTGGGTGGGGGACGCGATCATGAGGCTACGGCGTGTGCCCCTCGCGCCCCCGCGCGCTCGCGTCACCTGTGACACTCCCCGCCCAGGACGCGCGGGGGGTTGAGAAGAAGAACCCCTTATCCATTTACGGGCACGACCGCGCGACAAAGAAGTGGAGAAACCTCAAAGCCCGGTTTCACGCTGCAGCAAGTGTGTTGTACAACATGTTGTTGATTCCAC